ATGAGCTTATTTATCGTTTCGGTTAGAAGAGTTGAAGCGCTTAGGTTGCTTATTTGTAATCTTTTTGATACGTTTATGGTTTATTGTTAGATCTGATTGGAAGATCTAGGGTTTTGGGTTACTGGTAATTGTTATTTAAGGTGTCGATTCGTTTATTGTTTCACAGACAATGTCATTGGAAATTATCATCTCTATGGATGCTGAAACAATATGTGGAAATTAAGAAACTCTCTGTATTTTCTTGTTTGGTGGTCTCGTTGATTTTAGTCGTTGGTAGATGGTAGTATTGTTAGTCAAATAAATACACAGTGGAGTCGGAGCAAGAGAAGTTTAATTATTTTATACGCCAATTGTTAAAAGTACTGGTGGATGTCTACATTCATATGTAAATTATACACATTATATGAACTGTTTAAGTAAATGAAATTTGTGTACAAAAACTTCTTGCTAGAACAATCGTTAGACAGTTGCACTGCTACATTGATAGGTGGCGTACACTAAACGGGTATTAATCATGTAGAGTACCAAAATTTGGTGGTTAGCAGAAGATAAAATCAGGTCAGCAGGTACATGCGTGAGTTTGCATTTTTTACTGAGAGGAAGCTAAGATCCGGGTAGAAGATCCAGAATTAGACTGATAAAAATATTTTTGTTTAGTTGCTTGCCATGGGAATGATCGAATGTTCTTGTTCAGTTGCTTTGTTTATAAATTCTGTGGTTTGGAGGATCACACAAATGCTTTAGGAAATTGGTGATTCATATATTGAGATGACCCATTCATAAATTGCAAACTTGTTGGTTCCTACCTACCCTTTTTGTGGTTAGACAAGATACAGTTTCTACAGTGATGTAAGTTAAGTATGCAGTCATTTGAATAATTCTTGACTTGATATATATGTACAAATTTTCTATTTAAGCTTTTTGAAAAGTGTGTGAATATTGATGTTAACTTTCATGTGGTTCTATACCTGTTTCAATTCAGAAAAAGATCTTGATTAAGCTGCTCTTGGTCTGTTGTATGCATACTACATCTATCTGCATTTTTTTTTGTTGAAATGAACTTCAAATCTCCCTGAAATGACTTCCTTTCAAGTTGCTTTCCCAGGCTTATTGGGTTGTGATATTTGGTTCTGATCTGCCAAATTGTCCATTACTTGCTTTGTTTATGCTTATTTTCCAGAGAAATTTATTTTCCGATAACCTAATTCCGGACAATATAATGGAGTATGATGTTTGTTTATGCTATTTGATTTGGCCACAATCTTCTAGATGCTGTTTATTTCTTCCCTTGGCTGTTCAGAGTATTTAAGGATCACGTATTGTCTCTAGTGAATTTTTTGACTTGTTCATTATCTTTAAGTTGAACCATAGTGGAATTTGAAATCTATTGAAACATGAGGTTGATGGTTGTGTTGGTTTCCCATCTTACAGGACCTGCAAGGTGTTATCGCCAGATCAAGAACAAGCCCTACCCTAAGTCACGGTATTGTCGTGGTGTGCCAGATCCAAAGATCAGGATTTATGATGTCGGAATGAAGAAAAAGGGAGTTGATGAATTTCCCTTCTGCGTGCATTTGGTTAGTTGGGAGAAGGAGAATGTTACCAGTGAGGCACTGGAAGCTGCACGCATTGCATGCAACAAGTACATGACTAAGTTTGCTGGAAAAGATGCATTTCACCTCAGGGTGAGGGTTCATCCTTTCCATGTACTGCGAATAAACAAAATGTTGTCATGTGCTGGGGCGGATAGGCTCCAAACTGGCATGAGGGGGGCTTTTGGTAAGCCCCAGGGGACATGTGCACGTGTGGCCATTGGTCAGGTCCTTCTCTCTGTTCGCTGCAAAGATACAAACAGTCATAATGCCCAAGAGGCCTTGCGCCGTGCAAAGTTCAAGTTTCCTGGTCGTCAGAAAATCATTGTCAGCAGGAAATGGTATGTTGAAATTTTCACTATCTTATATTAACTACAATGTTGCAAATTAATTTAAGTGTCTCAAAGTAGAAAACACATTTAAGAATATAATTTCCACAAATGTGGTCATCGGGCGTTTTGTTGTTGTGATTGTTATTTAATCTGATTTGAGCATTTTGAACATCTAAATTGTTTATTGAATTGAATGGAAATGAAAGTAAACTCTGTGTGGTTGCCATTTCAGGGGGTTTACCAAGTTCAGCCGTTCTGATTATGTGAGGTGGAAAGCGGATAACCGAATCTTGCCAGATGGTGTCAATGCCAAGGTTTGTCTTTTCCAAAACTAAGCAGATCTATTTCCCGTCTTTTAGCTGTTTCATTTACAACCTTTTGAGTTGATTCATTTTTCAAAATCTTTGATTCACTGTTTGACTGGATGCATGCCACTCAGGTAGCAGGTAGGTTTCAAAATGTACTGGTTGTCTGTCATGAAGTTATCCATGCCTCTACATAGTTTAATATTAGAGGTTTTTTTTTTGTATAAATGGTATATAGTAGAAAACTTATGAATGTTGATTTGACTTTTGCAGCTTCTCGGCTGCCATGGACTGTTGGCAAGGCGACAACCTGGAAGAGCATTCTTAGATGCAGCTGCTTAGAACATCTTTTTGATTTAAGATATATGGCTTCAGGCCAATTTTGGCAGCAAGTTAATTTTTGGTTTTGTCGTATGCTTTATGTGGTACTTGCTCCTGTTTTCATGCTAGAATGTGTTTTGAACTGTTGATACCGTATTGGAATACCTTTATTGAGTGCTTTTCTTGCTAGAATGCGTTCTAAATTGTGGCAAAGTGGATACCTTTGCATCTGTTGCAAGACTTGTGACTGATGTATTATTGTTGTCAGCTGGAGTTGGAATTTATTTGTTACTTTCTTCACCATCAACTTTATGTTAGTTAATTGAACTGCTTGCTGCTGCTTATGGCTTATTGCGTTGCTGAGAAGGGGAACTAGATTTGGTATTTTGAGCTCCTTTCATATGATTACGCTGGCAGTTTTCCCATTTGCCAGATTTTCATGTGTTCTGTTCAAAGATTTTGCGGCTATTCTATTAAGATAGAGGTGATATGCTATCACACTAATCATTATAGATGGAACAACAATTTACGACCAAATACACAACATAGACTTTCTAATTGGTAGTCTTCGGGTAACATTCCATCTGTAGCTCTTTAGCCATATCAGCCTAGCATCCAAAAAATTCCTACTCCTGTTCTATTCAAGAGTGGCTTAGTACACAATTCCCGATTGCTTTCATTTCCTGTTTCGCTTTCTGACTGGAGCCCTCGTGGAGTTTTCATCTTTCTTGGACTTTTTGGAATGCTTTGGTTGGGTGTCACTTTTTTTACTGAGCTTCACTACCTCCGTTGATGTCTTATCCTCATCACCGTCTACTTCTGTGACAGGCATATCATCTTCACTTGAACAGTTTGATGCCCTAACTGTGTGAACCTGCGCAAAGCACCATAGAGAAATCCTCTTGTGAAAGTTCTATCTATACATAGTCAATTTAAAAATGATTTGTATATTATATGTTCAGAAAGCTACAACCATCCTTTAGAAGGAAAATAGGACCAAAAAATGNGGTCAATTTAAAAATGATTTGTTTATTATATGTTCAAAAAGCTACAACCATCCTTTAGAAGGAAAATAGGACCAAAAAATGTGACTCATTTGAANAGTCAATTTAAAAATGATTTGTATATTATATGTTCAGAAAGCTACAACCATCCTTTAGAAGGAAAATAGGACCAAAAAATGTGACTCATTTGAANCAAATGTACTGGTTGTCTGTCATGAAGTTATCCATGCCTCTACATAGTTTAATATTAGAGATTTTTTTTTTGTATAAATGGTATATAGTAGAAAACTTATGAATGTTGATTTGACTTTTGCAGCTTCTCGGCTGCCATGGACCGTTGGCAAGGCGACAACCTGGAAGAGCATTCTTAGATGCAGCTGCTTAGAACATCTTNAAAAGAAACTGACTATCCTTGCTTCAATGCGTTTCTGGTAATGTGTTGAAGAGTTTTCAAGAAGTGCCAACCAAACATTGTAAGTTTTGGATTCTTGTTTTTAACTAGGATCTCATCAGATGTTTGTCCAAGAAGTGTTAATATCTAACATGTGTCCAACAAACATGGTACCATCTTAGAAGTGTTTGTACTTATTAGCAATATCTCTGCTCCTTTTTTTGGATAAGTTCGACTTCATTTCTTTGTTTCGCGTTTTCGGTGTAGGTTATCTCATGTATGTGTTTGCATTGCAGTAGCCTTTCTGTTGACTTAATCCAACTTGTATAAATTGTTCGGAAGTCTAATAATTAGGCTCTATATAAAACACTTGGTTCAAGATAACCCGCTTAAAAATTGCTGGAGACAAATTATGCATATCCTAATCTTTTATTGCTAGCCTTAGATGACTGGAAACATAAAGCCAAAGATGGATTCATTTATTAAAGATGTTAAAAGAATGGTATTATGGGCATGCAATGTTTTGATTCAAGGCCTTTGATGGGGACTGTGCTGGGGTTGGATAAATATTGTGGATTATTTTAGGATTTATTTATTTATTTGAAAATTAGTTAGTATTTATCTTTCGTACTGTTAGAATTAGATTAGGAGTCCTGATTTTTGGTTTTGGCATCCATATATAAAGGGCCTGATGTGATTATTTTGAAGTAGAGTTATAAGTTATTAAATATTATTGAGAATTGTTTCTCTTGATTTCTATTTCTCATCCCTTCTTCTGATTCTCATCTCTTCTTCTGATTCTCATCTCCTTCTTCCCTTCTCATTTCCTTTCTTCTTCTCTTCTCATCCCTTTCTTCTTGATCTAAATCAACTGGTATAGTCTATCAAAGCTATACAATCTTCATCACCTTGACCCTCACAGTGGGTTTTGAAGCCTAGACAAGTCTATGATCATATTGTTCAGCACCAAACCCACTCTTTCTGCTGGGTTCGAGGATAAGAGTATCTTGATGATACATATTTGTAGCTTTGATACTTTCTCTTTGCTTAAAATGTGACACATGGATAACATTCACACTTCTAGTTTTTAGCAACAGACTCAAATGCTTATTTCGACCATTCAGAACCCATATTATCACGGCCATTGACATGCATTTTTCATCCCTAAGGCAAAAATCTGAATTTAGGGAAATTATACCTTACAGTAAAGGAGAGATATTAACTAACAGTACACATCCGTCATCTTATTATGTAACGTGGTTCCATGTTGTCTTTTCTGCAGCGTCTACAATATCCATCAAAATTGATGGTGTTAAAGACTTCACTTATGAGGAAATGAAACTAGCGACAAACAATTTTAATGTCTCCACTCAAGTTGGACAAGGAGGATATGGGAAGGTCTACAAAGGTATTCTAGCTGATGGTACTGTTGTGGCCATAAAACGTGCCCAGGAGGGATCATTACAGGGTGAAAAGGAGTTTCTTACAGAAATAGAATTATTGTCAAGGGTACATCATCGAAACCTGGTGTCTTTGATTGGATACTGTGATGATGAAGGGGAACAGGTACACCCTTAAATTCAGCTACACTTTCTTAAATTATATGCATTCTTCCTTTCCACTCTATCTTGACTATAATCAATTTGCATGACTTGAATAGTTGAGGAACAGAGTTAAATCCAGTATGAAATGGATGAGGGCAAACCTAGAGATTTGGGAAAGAAAATTTATTGGACAAAATTGAATATTCAAAACCATATTTGTGGCTAATTTAAACAAAGACAAGAAAAATAGCAGAGAAAAAGTAACAGGTGCAATGTTTTCTAAGCTGAATATAAAAGATGTACATGTATCCAAAGGAAAAATTATGAATGGTAAAAGACGCTTGTATATACCCTGCATATATTATAACTGTTTATTAAAAAAATTGCTACAGCCGTTTGTTTGTCTCCCATTTTAAAGTGAAATTGAGAGGACTTGTATTTCATTTTTTGGTTAAATCAATGTTAATTGCTGTGCTGGAAAACTAGTGTTTTTCTATAAGACAAGAATCAATGCTTTTCTTCCTGTAACAATCTAATTCTGCACTATTATATTGGACTCTGATGTTCATCCCTTCATTTCTCTCTTCACATGCAGATGTTGGTTTATGAGTTCATGTCTAACCACACCCTCCGGGATCAACTATCTGGTATGTCTTACAAACTTCATTGGGACTCTCAAAATCTCTCTACTCTTCCTCCATGGTTATGTTTTTCTTTTCTTGGGGCTGAGACTCACTCTTTTGCTTAATTTTTTTTACTAGTTAATTCCTTGGTGCTTGAATAGATGGTTAATTTTCATGTCACAGGCAAGTCTAAAGAGCCACTAAGCTTTGCTATGAGACTGAAAATTGCATTGGGTTCAGCCAAGGGCATTCTTTACCTGCATACAGAAGCTGATCCTCCAATATTCCATCGAGATATCAAGGCCAGCAACATATTATTGGACTCCAAACTTACTGCAAAGGTTGCTGACTTTGGATTATCACGACTTGCTCCAGTTCCTGATATGGAGGGAGCAGTGGCGGCTCATGTATCTACAGTTGTTAGAGGCACTCCGGTAAGCATGAATCTTATACAGGGAAACACTCATAAAATAATGAAATTCAATAAAAAAAATAATGAAATTCAAGTGACTAATACCTTGTAACAAAAAAATTGTTTTTCATCTCTTTCAATTAATGGTCGTTCACAGATTAATATTTTATGCAGTATAGGCAGATAGTTGGTACGTCTAAATAGTTCTTCATTCTCTCTTTTGTCCTTTTTTTCCATTACACATCAAATCAGCCATAAAGTTGTAATAAGAGCAGGCAAAAGACTACATCAACATCAACAAGAACATAAAACAGCTCTGATTACAATAGTTGCTGGTGAATTTTTGAGATTCTATCCCCCTTTTTTGCCCTTGATGAGTTGTCCCATTTACGCAGAAGCTGCCTTCGTTCCCCAACTTTTGTCTTTTATAATATGTACGTGTGTGAGCTTCAGAACTAAGCTAGGACCAGGACCCAGCGCAAATTGTTTGCCAAAATGGGAATATAAAAGTGTCTAGGACTAAGAGAATTTAAAGATCACAGCTGTCATGGGACCCAATACATTAATGCGAAAGATGATACCGGTCACAGAAAAGGATGTGCTTCAGATGAAAATTAAAGATAAATTTCTGCCTCTTGGGACTGGGTCTGGCATTCTCATGACAACCCTGCTGATTAAAAGGATTCATGAAAATTAGTTAGTTTTGGTGTGTATATAATTCTTACTTTTAAAGGTGATAACTTGAAATGGAAGTTTAATGATATTCCGATAAAGGGCTCAATGGTGAGAGGAAAGATAATGAGAAATTGATGGGAAAACACCAGAAGGCCTGAATATTAAAAGACCTCGGTGGTTTTATTTGTTTTTTTACTTCTGTTGTTTTTATTGTATCTTTGATTCGTATTCTGCAATGTCTAATGATTGAGCTATAAGAAAGTAAATCTCTGTTCTTTATACCATGCTTGCGGATGTAAAGGAGTTGCCCCATTTTTGTCTCATTCTTAACATGCTACCTCTCTTCTGATTTGAAGATATTTGAGCAGCTGGTGAAGAGTGACTTCTTGCGGCTGACAAGGAATTTGTTTTTTTCCAGTTTGGATGGGTGTTCCTGGGATGATAATTCAGCCTAGAACGGACACAGAGCTATAGTTTAAATAATAGTGGGACTGAGGGAATTCTAAGAAGAATGAAATGATAGAGTTTATTAAGTAAATGTCAAGAGAGAGGGCCTTTTTGTCAATTGATGAATTAGTTCAGAGTGAAAAGCAACATTTCTGTAGGATGAATAGCGTCTCTTTAAACGTCAATTTATTAAAATTGCAAGGCTCTAACATATATACACACTTTCACTTTTTCCTTTTGATGTTTTTGAGTCCAACTTGGTTTTCATTGAATGATCCCTCCAGGGTAACAAGACAAATTGTAGTGTTATTTTAAACCCAGATTCACTCCAGGAAAGCATTTGCATGACGAACTAATTTTCAAGAGTTAAACTGGAAAGCGTCTACCTTGATCCATTTTTCATTATAAGACATAATTTCACTCTCAACATGAAAATTGAAGCCATTTTGTTTGCAGGGGTACCTTGACCCAGAGTATTTCCTTACTCATAAGCTGACAGACAAAAGTGACGTTTATAGCATTGGGGTAGTGTTTCTAGAGCTCTTGACAGGGATGCAGCCGATCTCACATGGCAAAAACATTGTTCGAGAGGTACTAACTACTTCATTGAGAGTCTTAATTCTTGATTTAGTCTGTAAATTTGTGTATATGAATGTGTCTCATACATATAATGATGTATGTTACCTAAGATACATCTCAGTGATTCATTTAAACTCTATTGTGTGGTCACTTGCTTAGATTGCCTGACCCAACTTCTTGTACACTGAACTCTTGTTTTATGCTTTCAATCTGAATCAGGTGACTGTTGCTTACAGTTCTGGTATGATTTTCTCGGTTATTGATGAGAGGATGGGATCTTATCCTTCTGATTGTGTGGAGAAGTTTCTATCTTTGGCCCTCAAGTGTTGCCAAGAGGAGACAGATGCCCGGCCTTCAATGGCAGAGGTGGTTCGGCAACTTGAAAGCATATGGCTTATGATGCCACAATCTGACACCAAAACGACAGAATCATCAGACAAAGACCCAGAAATTGCAGTGACCTCTCAACCTTCCTCCTCTATAGTGAAGAACCCTTACGTTTCGTCAGATGTCTCTGGCAGTGAGCTCGTCAGTGGAGTCGTCCCAACTATTACTCCTAGGTGATACTTTTTAATTTTTGTAAAGAATTTTGGTGGCAATAAGAGGTGTGTTAGTTCTGTATTATTAGTCTATACTGTCAGAAATTGTTTGTAAAAATGATAGGGCAGACCATTCAGGTTTGGTAGTGTTGCTGAGGTTGTAATTCCTTACGGTTGTTCTTCCAATAGACTGAATTTCTTGAGTATTGCATTAGCTACCCCATCATTCTACTAACTAATGTTTCAAAAGCCTTGAAATTTCCAAAAGATGTTTATCTTCTCCATGGTTATTTCTTTCTTTTTTTTTGGGAGGGGGAGGGGGGTTGGGGGGTTTACAAACAATTTGGGATTACAAATAAAATAAAATATGCAAAAAAACAAAAGAAGAATCTAGCAATGACCCACAATTCAAGTCTATGGGTTAGTGTTATTTGTTTGCTTGCTTGTGTTCAACGTGTCCATGCATGAGTTGTCTTTTCCAGTCATACATGGGGCTTCAATCAATCCACCAGTTGTGTCTAACATATTCATGCATGAGCTGTCTTTTCTCAGCGATGCATGGGGCTTCAATCAATCCATTGGTCATGTCCAACGTGTCTATGCATGAAACTTCAGCCAACGACAAGTCCTATTGATTATCGGCTCCGAATATAACATCGACTTCAAAATGAGTCTTTAATAAAAGGCATGGATGACCTCCCTACTGAGAGTGTTAGGAGTGATTAACTAGACTAGGTGTAGTCAGTTACTAGATTTAGTGGATATTATTCACATTTATGGTATAATTAATTTTAATTTGGTATATTAGTTCTGGGATGTTCATGAAAATATTAGCAGTTATTCCATTAAATTACAAAAAACGGTGAACGTCACAATAGTATATACTGTAAGTCAAGTTTTATAAATATTTTAAAAATCATTTTTTTTTAAATTAGATAATCCTTCATATTAGTGAAGATATTAAAAAAGAATTTTTAGATTATTAAAATGTTTGCCGTTAAATAAAGGGCTAATTTGCAAAAAAAAAAAAATCCTATTGTACTTGGGGATGCTTTAAATTATTAGGGACGCTTGCAAATCAGTTATCTTTTGTACCATTTTTTTTTTCAAATTGAGGATGGTTTAGAGCAAAAATACAAAATATAAAGAGGTCGTTTGTAAGCGTTCCCAAGTATAAAGAGAATTTTTTAATTTAACCCTTAAATAAAAGATAATTACCATACCTACCCTAAAGATATTGACCCAAGCCGTTTTAGTCCAAGAAGCTTCTGGACTTGGGCTTGTCAAAGAAGTCTAGTTTTAAGGCGGCCCATTACGTAACGGATGTCCACACGTAAGCTTACACGGTCCACAGCCCATTTACAATTCTCTTTGCCTATCTGCTTCCGCTATATAAACAACATTTCTCTCCTTCCCTTAGGGTTTTGTAATCGTTTGCTGGAAGCCGTAGTTCAACTTCAGAGATAGGTCGCCATGGGGAGGAGTAAGTCTCTCTCTCTCTCTCCATTGAAAGGGTTTTTTTTATTTGATTGAATTGCAGAAGAGATGAGCTTGCTCTTTGCCGTATTATTTTTTGATTCTTTTGTGAACTTTTGTTTAATTAATGGCGAATCAAAAGTGAGGATGAGCTTATTTATCGTTTCGGTTAGAAGAGTTGAAGCGCTTAGGTTGCTTATTTGTAATCTTTTTGATACGTTTATGGTTTATTGTTAGATCTGATTGGAAGATCTAGGGTTTTGGGTTACTGGTAATTGTTATTTAAGGTGTCGATTCGTTTATTGTTTCACAGACAATGTCATTGGAAATTATCATCTCTATGGATGCTGAAACAATATGTGGAAATTAAGAAACTCTCTGTATTTTCTTGTTTGGTGGTCTCGTTGATTTTAGTCGTTGGTAGATGGTAGTATTGTTAGTCAAATAAATACACAGTGGAGTCGGAGCAAGAGAAGTTTAATTATTTTATACGCCAATTGTTAAAAGTACTGGTGGATGTCTACATTCATATGTAAATTATACACATTATATGAACTGTTTAAGTAAATGAAATTTGTGTACAAAAACTTCTTGCTAGAACAATCGTTAGACAGTTCCACTGCTACATTGATAGGTGGCGTACACTAAACGGGTATTAATCATGTAGAGTACCAAAATTTGGTGGTTAGCAGAAGATAAAATCAGGTCAGCAGGTACATGCGTGAGTTTGCATTTTTTACTGAGAGGAAGCTAAGATCCGGGTAGAAGATCCAGAATTAGACTGATAAAAATATTTTTGTTTAGTTGCTTGCCATGGGAATGATCGAATGTTCTTGTTCAGTTGCTTTGTTTATAAATTCTGTGGTTTGGAGGATCACACAAATGCTTTAGGAAATTGGTGATTCATATATTGAGATGACCCATTCATAAATTGCAAACTTGTTGGTTCCTACCTACCCTTTTTGTGGTTAGACAAGATACAGTTTCTACAGTGATGTAAGTTAAGTATGCAGTCATTTGAATAATTCTTGACTTGATATATATGTACAAATTTTCTATTTAAGCTTTTTGAAAAGTGTGTGAATATTGATGTTAACTTTCATGTGGTTCTATACCTGTTTCAATTCAGAAAAAGATCTTGATTAAGCTGCTCTTGGTCTGTTGTATGCATACTACATCTATCTGCATTTTTTTTTGTTGAAATGAACTTCAAATCTCCCTGAAATGACTTCCTTTCAAGTTGCTTTCCCAGGCTTATTGGGTTGTGATATTTGGTTCTGATCTGCCAAATTGTCCATTACTTGCTTTGTTTATGCTTATTTTCCAGAGAAATTTATTTTCCGATAACCTAATTCCGGACAATATAATGGAGTATGATGTTTGTTTATGCTATTTGATTTGGCCACAATCTTCTAGATGCTGTTTATTTCTTCCCTTGGCTGTTCAGAGTATTTAAGGATCACGTATTGTCTCTAGTGAATTTTTTGACTTGTTCATTATCTTTAAGTTGAACCATAGTGGAATTTGAAATCTATTGAAACATGAGGTTGATGGTTGTGTTGGTTTCCCATCTTACAGGACCTGCAAGGTGTTATCGCCAGATCAAGAACAAGCCCTACCCTAAGTCACGGTATTGTCGTGGTGTGCCAGATCCAAAGATCAGGATTTATGATGTCGGAATGAAGAAAAAGGGAGTTGATGAATTTCCCTTCTGCGTGCATTTGGTTAGTTGGGAGAAGGAGAATGTTACCAGTGAGGCACTGGAAGCTGCACGCATTGCATGCAACAAGTACATGACTAAGTTTGCTGGAAAAGATGCATTTCACCTCAGGGTGAGGGTTCATCCTTTCCATGTACTGCGAATAAACAAAATGTTGTCATGTGCTGGGGCGGATAGGCTCCAAACTGGCATGAGGGGGGCTTTTGGTAAGCCCCAGGGGACATGTGCACGTGTGGCCATTGGTCAGGTCCTTCTCTCTGTTCGCTGCAAAGATACAAACAGTCATAATGCCCAAGAGGCCTTGCGCCGTGCAAAGTTCAAGTTTCCTGGTCGTCAGAAAATCATTGTCAGCAGGAAATGGTATGTTGAAATTTTCACTATCTTATATTAACTACAATGTTGCAAATTAATTTAAGTGTCTCAAAGTAGAAAACACATTTAAGAATATAATTTCCACAAATGTGGTCATCGGGCGTTTTGTTGTTGTGATTGTTATTTAATCTGATTTGAGCATTTTGAACATCTAAATTGTTTATTGAATTGAATGGAAATGAAAGTAAACTCTGTGTGGTTGCCATTTCAGGGGGTTTACCAAGTTCAGCCGTTCTGATTATGTGAGGTGGAAAGCGGATAACCGAATCTTGCCAGATGGTGTCAATGCCAAGGTTTGTCTTTTCCAAAACTAAGCAGATCTATTTCCCGTCTTTTAGCTGTTTCATTTACAACCTTTTGAGTTGATTCATTTTTCAAAATCTTTGATTCACTGTTTGACTGGATGCATGCCACTCAGGTAGCAGGTAGGTTTCCAAATGTACTGGTTGTCTGTCATGAAGTTATCCATGCCTCTACATAGTTTAATATTAGAGATTTTTTTTTTGTATAAATGGTATATAGTAGAAAACTTATGAATGTTGATTTGACTTTTGCAGCTTCTCGGCTGCCATGGACCGTTGGCAAGGCGACAACCTGGAAGAGCATTCTTAGATGCAGCTGCTTAGAACATCTTTTTGATTTAAGATATATGGCTTCAGGCCAATTTTGGCAGCAAGTTAATTTTTGGTTTTGTCGTATGCTTTATGTGGTACTTGCTCCTGTTTTCATGCTAGAATGTGTTTTGAACTGTTGATACCGTATTGGAATACCTTTATTGAGTGCTTTTCTTGCTAGAATGCGTTCTAAATTGTGGCAAAGTGGATACCTTTGCATCTGTTGCAAGACTTGTGACTGATGTATTATTGTTGTCAGCTGGAGTTGGAATTTATTTGTTACTTTCTTCACCATCAACTTTATGTTAGTTAATTGAACTGCTTGCTGCTGCTTATGGCTTATTGCGTTGCTGAGAAGGGGAACTAGATTTGGTATTTTGAGCTCCTTTCATATGATTACGCTGGCAGTTTTCCCATTTGCCAGATTTTCATGTGTTCTGTTCAAAGATTTTGCGGCTATTCTATTAAGATAGAGGTGATATGCTATCACACTAATCATTATAGATGGAACAACAATTTACGACCAAATACACAACAAAGACTTTCTAATTGGTAGTCTTCGGGTAACATTCCATCTGTAGCACTTTAGCCATATCAGCCTAGCATCCAAAAAATTCCTACTCCTGTTCTATTCAAGAGTGGCTTAGTACATAATTCCCGATTGCTTTCATTTCCTGTTTCGCTTTCTGACTGGAGCCCTCGTGGAGTTTTCATCTTTCTTGGACTTTTTGGAATGCTTTGGTTGGGTGTCACTTTTTTTACTGAGCTTCACTACCTCCGTTGATGTCTTATCCTCATCACTGTCTACTTCTGTGACAGGCATATCATCTTCACTTGAACAGTTTGATGCCCTAACTGTGTGAACCTGCGCAAAGCACCATAGAGAAATCCTCTTGTGAAAGTTCTATCTATACATGGTCAATTTAAAAATGATTTGTTTATTATATGTTCAAAAAGCTACAACCATCCTTTAGAAGGAAAATAGGACCAAAAAATGTGACTCATTTGAAAAAACAAGCAAAAAAGTTTAATATTAGGAAAGATGCTGTGAACTCATCTACTACTGGGAATAAGTACTTAGTTATTTTTCTCTGTCTTTTACTTTTGAGGTTTTATCTGGGTGTGTGGGTGGGTTTCATCAACTCTCCACCATCATGCAATTTACATTACAATGACATCTAGAATGGTTTTGAATACATAGAAATCTTGTTCAGAAACTTGACACAACTATTCCCTATAATATATATATATATATNTTCTGTGTCTTTTACTTTTGAGGTTTTATCTGGGTGTGTGGGTGGGTTTCATCAACTCTCCACCATCATGCAATTTACATTACAATGNCTCTGTCTTTTACTTTTGAGGTTTTATCTGGGTGTGTGGGTGGGTTTCATCAACTCTCCACCATCATGCAATTTACATTACAATGACATCTAGAATGGTTTTGAATACATAGAAATCTTGTTCAGAAACTTGACACAACTATTCCCTATAATATATATATATATATAATGTATATCAATCATGCTTAGCAAATTGACAATGGTACATCTGGATATCTACCTTAAATCTTGTTGGCTCAGTCAATTCGAAAACCAACGCATCCCCATCATCCAATTTATGATCCAGCGCAAATGCTCTCCATCCACCACTTAGCCCACTTCTCTTGCTAATGAAAACAGCATCATATTCTGTTCCATTCTCATCTTCCAATACAATATCTACGGTAGACTTGGGAAGATGGTCCTCACAAAACTTAGAAGGGAGCCCCTTATCATCGTAGGCTCGTAGCAATTAGTAAAGAAACAAAACAATAAAGATTTATGGAAATTATAACCAGACAAGGAAACCATATTGAAATTTGAAAGAAGAAAGATTTATGGCAACTTACCATCCAAAAGCAACTATAAACATGAGATCGAACCATTGATTTGACAAAGGATGGATTTTCAGTTTGTAGATTGCTTTGTAGCTTCTCTGCACACTTAAAAGCCTGAGCTCTTTCTTCATATGAAGCAGTTTTAACTTCGTGCAATGGTCTCGCAAGATAACTGGAAGTCCAACAATGCTGTTAATCACAATGCAAAGTGGAACAAAGTAATATTGAATTCTCAAATAACCAATTCAACCTCGCCCATGATGAACTAAACTTTGATCTCTTCCGCAAAGTTGGAAGCTCTAAATCAAGCTACAATGAAAAATTATAATAAATATTGAAGGAGATGTAGATAACGAACTAATGAATGATCAAGAAATTAGAATAAATATCACAAGAAGAAAGATTTTCCCCTGCTTCTTTCAGTTCTTTTTCATGTGCTCGTGCTTCACAACTTGTTAACAACTTTACCATTAGGGATGTCATCACTTACATCATCACGGTAAGAAGGGACTGGGTTGCGAGCTCGTGAAGAACGTCTTGGCTCCAGCATGAAATCACTACTTGGTTTTCGTCGNGTCTCTAGTGAATTTTTTGACTTGTTCATTATCTTTAAGTTGAACCATAGTGGAATTTGAAATCTATTGAAACATGAGATTGATGGTTGTGTTGGTTTCCCATCTTACAGGACCTGCAAGGTGTTATCGCCAGATCAAGAACAAGCCCTACCCTAAGTCACGGTATTGTCGTGGTGTGCCAGATCCAAAGATCAGGATTTATGATGTCGGAATGAAGAAAAAGGGAGTTGATGAATTTCCCTTCTGCGTGCATTTGGTTAGTTGGGAGAAGGAGAATGTTACCAGTGAGGCACTGGAAGCTGCACGCATTGCATGCAACAAGTACATGACTAAGTTTGCTGGAAAAGATGCATTTCACCTCAGGGTGAGGGTTCATCCTTTCCATGTACTGCGAATAAACAAAATGTTGTCATGTGCTGGGGCGGATAGGCTCCAAACTGGCATGAGGGGGGCTTTTGGTAAGCCCCAGGGGACATGTGCACGTGTGGCCATTGGTCAGGTCCTTCTCTCTGTTCGCTGCAAAGATACAAACAGTCATAATGCCCAAGAGGCCTTGCGCCGTGCAAAGTTCAAGTTTCCTGGTCGTCAGAAAATCATTGTCAGCAGGAAATGGTATGTTGAAATTTTCACTATCTTATATTAACTACAATGTTGCAAATTAATTTAAGTGTCTCAAAGTAGAAAACACATTTAAGAATATAATTTCCACAAATGTGGTCATCGGGCGTTTTGTTGTTGTGATTGTTATTTAATCTGATTTGAGCATTTTGAACATCTAAATTGTTTATTGAATTGAATGGAAATGAAAGTAAACTCTGTGTGGTTGCCATTTCAGGGGGTTTACCAAGTTCAGCCGTTCTGATTATGTGAGGTGGAAAGCGGATAACCGAATCTTGCCAGATGGTGTCAATGCCAAGGTTTGTCTTTTCCAAAACTAAGCAGATCTACTTCCCGTCTTTTAGCTGTTTCATTTACAACCTTTTGAGTTGATTCATTTTTCAAAATCTTTGATTCACTGTTTGACTGGATGCATGCCACTCAGGTAGCAGGTAGGTTTCAAAATGTACTGGTTGTCTGTCATGAAGTTATCCATGCCTCTACATAGTTTAATATTAGAGGTTTTTTTTTTGTATAAATGGTATATAGTAGAAAACTTATGAATGTTGATTTGACTTTTGCAGCTTCTCGGCTGCCATGGACTGTTGGCAAGGCGACAACCTGGAAGAGCATTCTTAGATGCAGCTGCTTAGAACATCTTTTTGATTTAAGATATATGGCTTCAGGCCAATTTTGGCAGCAAGTTAATTTTTGGTTTTGTCGTATGCTTTATGTGGTACTTGCTCCTGTTTTCATGCTAGAATGTGTTTTGAACTGTTGATACCGTATTGGAATACCTTTATTGAGTGCTTTTCTTGCTAGAATGCGTTCTAAATTGTGGCAAAGTGGATACCTTTGCATCTGTTGCAAGACTTGTGACTGATGTATTATTGTTGTCAGCTGGAGTTGGAATTTATTTGTTACTTTCTTCACCATCAACTTTATGTTAGTTAATTGAACTGCTTGCTGCTGCTTATGGCTTATTGCGTTGCTGAGAAGGGGAACTAGATTTGGTATTTTGAGCTCCTTTCATATCATTACGCTGGCAGTTTTCCCATTTGCCAGATTTTCATGTGTTCTGTTCAAAGATTTTGCGGCTATTCTATTAAGATAGAGGTGATATGCTATCACACTAATCATTATAGATGGAACAACAATTTACGACCAAATACACAACATAGACTTTCTAATTGGTAGTCTTCGGGTAACATTCCATCTGTAGCTCTTTAGCCATATCAGCCTAGCATCCAAAAAATTCCTACTCCTTTTCTATTCAAGAGTGGCTTAGTACACAATTCCCGATTGCTTTCATTTCCTGTTTCGCTTTCTGACTGGAGCCCTCGTGGAGTTTTCATCTTTCTTGGACTTTTTGGAATGCTTTGGTTGGGTGTCACTTTTTTTACTGAGCTTCACTACCTCCGTTGATGTCTTATCCTCATCACTGTCTACTTCTGTGACAGGCATATCATCTTCACTTGAACAGTTTGATGCCCTAACTGTGTGAACCTGCGCAAAGCACCATAGAGAAATCCTCTTGTGAAAGTTCTATCTATACATAGTCAATTTAAAAATGATTTGTATATTATATGTTCAGAAAGCTACAACCATCCTTTAGAAGGAAAATAGGACCAAAAAATGTGACTCATTTGAAAAAACAAGCAAAAAAGTTTAATATTAGGAAAGATGCTGTGAACTCATCTACTACTGGGAATAAGTACTTAGTTATTTTTTNGTACCATTTTTTTTTTCAAATTGAGGATGGTTTAGAGCAAAAATACAAAATATAAAGAGGTCGTTTGTAAGCGTTCCCAAGTATAAAGAGAATTTTTTAATTTAACCCTTAAATAAAAGATAATTACCATACCTACCCTAAAGATATTGACCCAAGCCGTTTTAGTCCAAGAAGCTTCTGGACTTGGGCTTGTCAAAGAAGTCTAGTTTTAAGGCGGCCCATTACGTAACGGATGTCCACACGTAAGCTTACACGGTCCACAGCCCATTTACAATTCTCTTTGCCTATCTGCTTCCGCTATATAAACAACATTTCTCTCCTTCCCTTAGGGTTTTGTAATCGTTTGCTGGAAGCCGTAGTTCAACTTCAGAGATAGCTCGCCATGGGGAGGAGTAAGTCTCTCTCTCTCTCTCTCTCCATTGAAAGGGTTTTTTTTATTTGATTGAATTGCAGAAGAGATGAGCTTGCTCTTTGACGTATTATTTTTTGATTCTTTTGTGAACTTTTGTTTAATTAATGGCGAATCAAAAGTGAGGATGAGCTTATTTATCGTTTTGGTTAGAAGAGTTGAAGCGCTTAGGTTGCTTATTTGTAATCTTTTTGATACGTTTATGGTTTATTGTTAGATCTGATTGGAAGATCTAGGGTTTTGGGTTACTGGTAATTGTTATTTAAGGTGTCGATTCGTTTATTGTTTCACAGGCAATGTCATTGGAAATTNACAGTGACCTCTCAACCTTCCTCCTCTATAGTGAAGAACCCTTACGTTTCGTCAGATGTCTCTGGCAGTGAACTCGTCAGTGGAGTCGTCCCAACTATTACTCCTAGGTGATACTTTTTAATTTTTGTANGCAGTGACCTCTCAACCTTCCTCCTCTATAGTGAAGAACCCTTACGTTTCGTCAGATGTCTCTGGCAGTGAGCTCGTCAGTGGAGTCGTCCCAACTATTACTCCTAGGTGATACTTTTTAATTTTTGTAAAGAATTTTGGTGGCAATAAGAGGTGTGTTAGTTCTGTATTATTAGTCTATACTGTCAGAAATTGTTTGTAAAAATGATAGGGCAGACCATTCAGGTTTGGTAGTGTTGCTGAGGTTGTAATTCCTTACGGTTGTTCTTCCAATAGACTGAATTTCTTGAGTATTGCATTAGCTACCCCATCATTCTACTAACTAATGTTTCAAAAGCCTTGAAATTTCCAAAAGATGTTTATCTTCTCCATGGTTATTTCTTTCTTTTTTTTTGGGAGGGGGAGGGGGGTTGGGGGGTTTACAAACAATTTGGGATTACAAATAAAATAAAATATGCAAAAAAACAAAAGAAGAATCTAGCAATGACCCACAATTCAAGTCTATGGGTTAGTGTTATTTGTTTGCTTGCTTGTGTTCAACGTGTCCATGCATGAGTTGTCTTTTCCAGTCATACATGGGGCTTCAATCAATCCACCAGTTGTGTCTAACATATTCATGCATGAGCTGTCTTTTCTCAGCGATGCATGGGGCTTCAATCAATCCATTGGTCATGTCCAACGTGTCTATGCATGAAACTTCAGCCAACGACAAGTCCTATTGATTATCGGCTCCGAATATAACATCGACTTCAAAATGAGTCTTTAATAAAAGGCATGGATGACCTCCCTACTGAGAGTGTTAGGAGTGATTAACTAGACTAGGTGTAGTCAGTTACTAGATTTAGTGGATATTATTCACATTTATGGTATAATTAATTTTAATTTGGTATATTAGTTCTGGGATGTTCATGAAAATATTAGCAGTTATTCCATTAAATTACAAAAAACGGTGAACGTCACAATAGTATATACTGTAAGTCAAGTTTTATAAATATTTTAAAAATCATTTTTTTTTAAATTAGATAATCCTTCATATTAGTGAAGATATTAAAAAAGAATTTTTAGATTATTAAAATGTTTGCCGTTAAATAAAGGGCTAATTT